ATACTTTGAATATTACATGTTGATAACTTGATTGGAATTATAACCCTAAGTTGACAGTTTGATACTTTGTAAATTTTGAGCCATCCCTACCCCCAAGGGCTGTAGGGTGGGGCCCAATGGAGTCTGTGTGCTAAAATAAAGTTTCTTCATTTTCCTTGTTTAGAATCAGAGGTGCTAGTTTCAAATACTTTTCAGTCTTAAATCTGCATGCTAGATATTGAATAAGGTGGTTTTATTGTTTTTTGTCACATTGAATAATATTTCTGTTCATGTTAAAAACAAAAATCAACTCTCTGTATAAATATATCAGGTGACCGTTAAGGCCCATGGGCCTCTTGTTTGAGGTTTAGCATGAGGCATTGCAGAGAGCTAACCTTCACAAATTTTCTCCTGAAAGTTAACATTTCTCTGCCTTCATCATACAGAACTTTTCCTACCACACTTTTCTACCATAAAATATACTCCCAAGTTGTAATGTTGAACCAAATGTACCGTGCAATCATTAATTGGCATATTAGATTCACAAGAAGAAATTATGTGATACTTAATGTTATAATGAAATGTTACTACTGACCTAACCGGTAGAGGGGACTAGATCTACACCCGACCCGTAACCTATTCAGTGCAGTGTGTATAAACTCTCTATCAATAAGCAAAATGTCAAGAGTTTTGTAACATGGAATTTACAATTTTGTCTATTGTTGTACAGGTAAATAATACAAATCGTCACTCGGTCATAGCTTGACAAAGGAACCAGTAAGTCTTTAAATGTTGCTACATAGATGTTTAATATGCCTAGTGTTTGTGCATTATAAGATTTGTGTCTTGTGATGGCCTTCAGACACCCTAATGTGATGATCCTGACCACCTCCAACGTGACGGGCGCCATTGACCTGGCCTTTGTAGATAGGGCTGACATCAAACAGTACATAGGACCCCCGTCTCCGGCAGCCATCTTTAAAATATTCCACTCTTGTATCAGTGAACTGATGAGGGTAAGAAAGAAGTCCCCACCTGTGAAAATGTAGCTTGCTTCTGAAAAGAATCATGAGTCGCCTTCCGAAATAACTGACAAATTGATCTCTCCTTAATTATAATGATATATCCTGTAATGCTAAGTGAAGTAAGGGTCATCACATGTCCTCAGATCAGGATGTATAAACGTAGATTGAAGCTGGCCATTGATTTACATATAAAGTATGAAAATTGGCATAGTCTGATATTTTATACTGCTAAAAGTGAACATTTGAGAGATTTTTTGATTTGCCATTGTCAGGTTGACATCATCAGCCCTGCTCAACAGCTGTTAGATCTAAGGGGCCTGGAAGCTATGAGGTTCATGGAAAATGATGCCACCAAGAGTAGCTTGATGCTTCGTGATATTGCAAAGTGAGTTAAATATTGAATGGGTAGTTTCTATTCTCAATTTGAAAGAGTGACTATATTTTAATTGACTTTACCAAATGTTAAAATGTGATCTTTATGATAGACCATTTATCATGCTTATTCCAATGTTATTTTGTTAATTTGACTAATTTAAACTTAGGATCAGCATCACAGCTATGATATGAAGTGTATAAAATAGCTGAATTGATCTTAGAGAAATCAGTTAGGCGATTTGCTATTTCCATTACAGGCACTAGGCACTCACCTGAGAATGGTTTTTCTTATGATGACACTATTCTAACTATCACTAATATCTTGTAGTGTTACACATGTGTTTAGACAAGCTGGTGGTTCTTGTCCTATACGACCTGTAAACCTTGCCCTCTTAAGGTTTGATTTGTTTTATTATAGTAAGGCTCATGGACTCAGTGGGCGCACATTGAGGAAGCTGCCTTTCATTGCCCATGCCATGTTTATTCAGGTAAGTCACAGCCAGAAGTGTCTTTTAAAACTAGAATCAAAATACATCTTAATCCTGGTGTTTCCATACCTCATAAAATGAGCTGATTGTTATACATGTAGTTAGATTTTTTGGGATTGCAAAGTTGAATAAAGAATCCTCTCTGCTTGCTGTACTTAAGTATAAATGTGTAAACAAATAAACGCTTGATTGATTACTTGAACATAAGTACTTGTGTTGCCAGATTGAACAAGCTCGGAAAAGAATTGAAATGTAAGCACTATTTTCTAAATGGAAGATATATCTGGAACAATGTTAAGTAGGAACTTATATTTATTCTGATATAATATCAGCACTATGATTTATGGAAAGTCTATAAGGACAGTATAATTTTGTAGCTTATGTTTGAATCCTTTTACATTTACACAGAGTGCATCTGTAACGTTAGAGGAATTCTTAGTAGCACTGGGACAAGGAGTAGAGAGACAATTCCAGGAAAGAGAAGATTTGACAAAGGAATGACCTGACTGAGATTATAGTTACCTGTTAATCCTGGTCATGGCCACCATTGTGTAATAAACCTGCGACAAAAACTATGTGCTATGAAACAGTGAGCCATGCTATCAAACAGGAGGCAACTACGCTTCAAATTGTCTCCCTTTAATGCTGATGTGATCTGTACAGAGAAGTTAAAGAAGACAAAGGACTGTGATTGTTGTGCACTGAAATGATCAATTATTTATGATATAATTAAGCAGTGCTCCAGAGTTAAACCAGAATCCATTAGTACATGTTGTAGTGCTACAAGAACTATAAGTACTACCTCAATCAAGTCTACATATAACTAGTATTATTCTGCAGGACTTAGTGTCTAAGTTTATCTCAAAGTCCTATCCTGTGAAATAGGCTTAAATATGTTTATTGTGTAGTTACTCGGGGAGATATAAGTATTACCTGTAATATGATTTTCCCCACACACCTGTAAAGCATAATATTGTTCGCACATTCATAAATTTATAAACAAGAAATTTCTTAACAAAAATAATTATTCAGTAAAAGCAATATAGGGGTGTAAGTTGACTAAAAATTGTTATCATTATGAGTGCTATTTTAAAGACAAACGTTCACACACATTGTATTTATGTTTACAGTAGCCCAGTATTAGCTGGTTATCATGGGATTTTCTTGTGATCCAGATATTTTACCCACACTGGTGGCGAGTAGCATTTAGTTGTTGCACAAGTAAGCATATCCACTGAGAAGTAATTAAATGAAACTCACATCCTTGAATTTAAAGAAATGTCATCTTGATAATTTTGCTCATTCTACATATAATTACTGTATATTAATCCTTTTTAGTGAAATGAACACCTTTGGTGTTTAACAGAACCATGGAAAGTAATCCGCCAAACTTTTAACAGTAAAAAATGCCACTAAAAGTATATATAACTTTTCACAGTAAAATACGCCACTAAAAGTATATATAACTTTTCAATGTAAAATGAAATGTGTATCACAAAACCTTAATAATAATATTGAAATAGAAGCTTTCAACCATCTATATTGGACCAATGTCGCTTTACATTGAAATCTTGATTTCCTTGTCATTATCCTATACACAGCAGTATATCCATTACATAGAGATGTACTATATACAGCAGTATATCCATTACATAGAGATGTACTATACACAGCAGTATATCCATTACATAGAGATGTACTATACACAGCAGTATATCCATTACATAGAGATGTACTATACACAGCAGTATATCCATTACATAGAGATGTACTATACACAGCAGTATATCCATTACATAGAGATGTACTATACACAGCAGTATATCCATTACATAGAGATGTACTATACACAGCAGTATATCCATTACATAGAGATGTACTATACACAGCAGTATATCCATTACATAGAGATGTACTATACACAGCAGTATATCCATTACATAGAGATGTACTATACACAGCAGTATATCCATTACATAGAGATGTACTATACACAGCAGTATATCCATTACATAGAGATGTACTATACACAGCAGTATATCCATTACATAGAGATGTACTATACACAGCAGTATATCCATTACATAGAGATGTACTATACACAGCAGTATATCCATTACATAGAGATGTACTATACACAGCAGTATATCCATTACATAGAGATGTACTATACACAGCAGTATATCCATTACATAGAGATGTACTATACACAGCAGTATATCCATTACATAGAGATGTACTATACACAGCAGTATATCCATTACATAGAGATGTACTATACACAGCAGTATATCCATTACATAGAGATGTACTATACACAGCAGTATATCCATTACATAGAGATGTACTATACACAGCAGTATATCCATTACATAGAGATGTACTATACACAGCAGTATATCCATTACATAGAGATGTACTATACACAGCAGTATATCCATTACATAGAGATGTACTATACACAGCAGTATATCCATTACATAGAGATGTACTATACACAGCAGTATATCCATTACATAGAGATGTACTATACACAGCAGTATATCCATTACATAGAGATGTACTATACACAGCAGTATATCCATTACATAGAGATGTACTATACACAGCAGTATATCCATTACATAGAGATGTACTATACACAGCAGTATATCCATTACATAGAGATGTACTATACACAGCAGTATATCCATTACATAGAGATGTACTATACACAGCAGTATATCCATTACATAGAGATGTACTATACACAGCAGTATATCCATTACATAGAGATGTACTATACACAGCAGTATATCCATTACATAGAGATGTACTATACACAGCAGTATATCCATTACATAGAGATGTACTATACACAGCAGTATATCCATTACATAGAGATGTACTATACACAGCAGTATATCCATTACATAGAGATGTACTATACACAGCAGTATATCCATTACATAGAGATGTACTATACACAGCAGTATATCCATTACATAGAGATGTACTATACACAGCAGTATATCCATTACATAGAGATGTACTATACACAGCAGTATATCCATTACATAGAGATGTACTATACACAGCAGTATATCCATTACATAGAGATGTACTATACACAGCAGTATATCCATTACATAGAGATGTACTATACACAGCAGTATATCCATTACATAGAGATGTACTATACACAGCAGTATATCCATTACATAGAGATGTACTATACACAGCAGTATATCCATTACATAGAGATGTACTATACACAGCAGTATATCCATTACATAGAGATGTACTATACACAGCAGTATATCCATTACATAGAGATGTACTATACACAGCAGTATATCCATTACATAGAGATGTACTATACACAGCAGTATATCCATTACATAGAGATGTACTATACACAGCAGTATATCCATTACATAGAGATGTACTATACACAGCAGTATATCCATTACATAGAGATGTACTATACACAGCAGTATATCCATTACATAGAGATGTACTATACACAGCAGTATATCCATTACATAGAGATGTACTATACACAGCAGTATATCCATTACATAGAGATGTACTATACACAGCAGTATATCCATTACATAGAGATGTACTATACACAGCAGTATATCCATTACATAGAGATGTACTATACACAGCAGTATATCCATTACATAGAGATGTACTATACACAGCAGTATATCCATTACATAGAGATGTACTATACACAGCAGTATAGCCATTACATAGAGATCTACCATACATAGCAGTATATCCATTACATAGAGATGTACTATACACAGCAGTATATCCATTACATAGAGATGTACTATACTGTAGTGCTGCATACAAAGAATGAACATTCAGTCTAAAAAGCTGGTCATTTCATGTCAAGTATTCACATTAAATCATCTGATTTTGTATTTTTATGATTAGTTTTGCTGCTCTATTAGAGATGAAAGGTGTTCCTTCAAAAAAAGAGAGAATTATTCCAAGCTTGATCGGATTGTTTACAATGTTTTCCCACTCATCATTGAAATTTTCTGTAGCATTTAAACATTTATCATGATTCCTGCCTCGGTAATCTTGTTGAACCTTGTAATTTGTTATTTAAAAAGCCATAAGAGCACACATTAATCTTTTACCAGTGGCATATTCAAATACTTGAGGTGAGTATAGCTTTCCTGTCTAACCAGCATATCCAGCTTTAGTGCTTTTTTAAAACTTTATAAAAGGAACCCTATTTCAGTCTAAATAATGGCAAACCTAAAATAACATCTTTAATCCACTCTCATGTGAAGTACAGCTCCGAACATGGGTGTTTTTACCACACCCAATTCTAATTTTACTGTGTGTAATTATAATCTGATATGTTGCTGATGATTAATTCATTGTATCTCAGTCTTTATGTCTAGGACTCAAATTAAGAAAGATGGATTACAGAAACCCCAAAAAGTATAGGAGTATTGGTTGTCAGAAGATGGTAACAACGTGCATTAGATTCCAAAAATTAATCTATTTTTCAATCTAAAAATGTTATTAATAAACTTGTTGAATATTTGATAATCTAATGGACTTCTTGAGGCTACAAGACAAGTGTAATTTCACACTGTAGTCATTTCCACCTTTGAGTCAATTCTGAGATTTGAATTTTTGATTATGGAATTGCTTTTTTTATCGGAAAAATAAGGCACATTTGCTTCAGTTCAAGGTCATTTAACCTGGGGGTCCATATATTCTAGATACTGGTTTAATAGTAATATTAATAGCCATGTATTGTATTTTACATTTCATTATCTTCTTTATTTTTGATATTAAAAGAAAAAAAAATACGATTTTTCTACTCAAAAATAATGAGGGAACCCACGATACATAACATTATACAAAAATGTAGTGATATTCATTGTCCTTGATATATTCAACGGTAAACATGTTAAATGCTTTTTTTTCTTCTTCAAAACATTAGAATTGATTAAATGTAACGGACAGGTAAATGATGTCCTTTCTGTCCTCAAAATGCATATGGGATAAATATTTGATGAAGAAGTTTTCTTATTAACAGAAATGTAAGGCACATTTAATTGGCTCAAAGTCGTTCTGCTAATTATTGAAGCTTGAAGTTCCATATGTTCCAGATACCCAGGTGGGGAAAGTACTCTGGGTAGCCGTGGGTTCCAAATACCCTAGCGGGGAAAAGTACTCAGGGTAGCCATATGTTCCAGATTCCCTGGTGGGGAAAGCACTCTGAGTAGCCATGTTCCAGATACCCTAGTGGGGAAAGTAATCTGGGTAGCCGTATGTTCCAGATACCCAGGTGGGGAAAGTAATCTGGGTAGCCGTATGTTCCAGATCCCCAGGTGGGGAAAGTAATCTGGGTAGCCGTATGTTCCAGATACCCAAGTGGGGAAAGTACAGTACTCTGGGTAGCCGTATGTCCCAGATACCCAAGTGGGGAAAGTACTCTGGGTAGCCGTATGTTCCAGATACCCAAGTGGGGAAAGTACTCTGGGTAGCTGTATGTTCCAGATACCCTAGTGGGGAAAGTACTCTGGGTAGCCGTATGTTCCAGATACCCTAGTGGGGGAAGCACTCTGGGTAGCTGTATGTTCCAGATACCCAAGTGGGGAAAGTACTCTGGGTAGCCGTATGTTCCAGATACCCTAGTGGGGGAAGTACTCTGGGTAGCTGTATGTTCCAGATACCCAAGTGGCGAAAGTACTCTGGGTAGCTGTATGTTCCAGATACCCTAGTGGGGAAAGGACTCTGGGTAGCCGTATGTTCCAGATACCCTAGTGGGGAAAGTACAGTACTCTGGGTAGCCGGAGGTTTTATTGAATTTTCATGCTCCTGAGATATTATTCTAACAATTTAAACCATAGAAATAGAGGTTTCAGATTCAGGCATAGCTTACATTAAATAGGAATATTAGATATGAAATGGCCTTTAGATTGAAACGTTCAGTCTGCTATATCCATTGACTAGGTTAAATACAGGTTCCTTGTAGACTGTTGTCTGGTTTTTATGCTGTCAACTGATAATATTATTAAATGAAAAGATTATAATTATTGTGTAATTTGAATAAACTGATTGTTCAGCTGGGTAACTGGTGCATATATATTACCATGATATAAAACTAGATTATCATCAGCACTTAGATCACTTGATTGATTTTTCTCAGTCATATCAAGTTTGATCAAGTGGGTTCTCTGTATTTATATTTGTATAAGAAGTTTGTCTTTTTACAAATTAAAGAGATATAAAGAATCTGACTAATTTTACAAAATGTTCTGAAACATTTTGAGGTTTTCTGGAATATTATCAAATTGACAAGGTTGTGCTTGGTTTGGATATCACTGGATTGTAGAATACTAACATAAAGCTGTATTATAAATGTATATACAGTTTTTATAATAACATATGTTAACAAAAATAAGCCAGAACACTGTCGATCTATTGGCTATATTGTGTCAGAAACAGTATGTTTGTGAACAGAAAGAGGTTGTACATTTATAGTAAAATATATCCAACATTATTGTCACAAAAACAAATGATCTAAATCCTCAATGAAATACAAGTAGAAGTGTTATATCTATGGTCATATATATATTTATAATCATGGTGTTACAAAAATAAACTGAAATAAAATATAAGCTTAATTACTGTTAAAAACAAAGAAACGTGTGTATTGTGTATTTGTTAAAGTGTAGTAAAATGAGTTATTTGAGTGAAAGCCTATGTTCTTGAATCTAATATTGTAAACTTATCTTGTTAAAAAAAATATGGACATGACATTTGATAGGTTATTTAAAATAAATACGGTAATGTAAAGTGCGCGGTGGAGTTACGTCCCTTGTTATTTCAAAGAAAAATAGTCCAGTCTTTTTAGATTTCCTAATTATGTAAGATGTATAAATGAAGATAGCGCAGATTATATTGTTTTAATCATGTATTGTGTCACATGTATTGCCATGTTATTTCGATGTTGAAAATTGATTTCGTGAAAAGTCGATCAATATACTGCGGAGTAATTTTTTAGTTGACATTATCACCTTGGATTCAAAATGGTGGACATTTGATCAGAAAGCTGTCACATGAAACCATATTTTAATGTTTCTTCGTTACTGTAGACACGTAAGGTACGTATATTGCGATGTGCTCATAAACGTGTACAAGTTATTTCATACAAATGTCCAAAAACTAAAATCGATTGATATTTATGGAAAAAATCCTGTTTTTTATCGACATGCGATGTCAATAATGTCGACAACTTCGTAGATCCGTGGTCTTTTCGTTTGTGCTTGAGCTTATTTAGGCCAGGAGAGCTGAATCGTCTGCTTTGAAATATTATATTTTCTGGAGTTAATGGACAAAAAGACTATAAAATGTTTCCGAATGCATTGGAAATCTTTACTAAGGATCACCAGAATCACCCATTCCTATTTAATTAAGTTTTGAATCAGCGATACACGTTCCCACTTGAACAAAATAATTCAAAACGCAATTCATTTGATACATTTTTACTTTCGTGTATGCGACAGTATTCACAAAATCATGTGATCAATAATTATGGCCCTCAACATAGTCCTTTAACTGGAGAGAGAGAAATGCGCTGCCAGATTTTAACCCGGGACCCGCAAATTCTAGACGGTCACTTGATGAAGCTACACCCTGATTTACGGACCTGGTCTGAACAATATTCACAGAGGCACCTTGACACCGTTGATTGACTCGGTCAAGTTCCACTGCAATACTAGCTTATTACACATGTGCAATGGTCTTTTGTGTACATGTATTCCAACAGCATATACATGTATATATAACTATTTATCATCGGGTGTAGAGCCAACGCCGTACTTCTGATCTAGGTTCTGTAGGTTCCGTTATCCCTTGCTTGGATACCCAGGGGTATGCAGGGCGATTGAGGAACGGGAAATTAAAGGCAATATTCAATCGCAACAAGCTCAGGATAGGTTGGTTTCTTTATTGTATGTCCGACATACAATAAAGAAACCAACCTATAACTATTTATTTTATATTTTTACAACTATTTTGAAACAATTTTAGTTCTTCAAATTCAAACAAATTATTTACACAAATTTCTTTGTAAAAGATGTGCATTGATTAGGTTGGCTTACAATTTTAAGCTGTAGGGAATTTCCCTTTAGCTCAGAGGTTTAAGCATCGGGCTGGAGAGCCAAGGGTTGCGGGTTCAAAGCCCCAGAGACGGAACTATCTTTATCACTATTCCTCGTCCTACTACATACTGGTGCCATTGACCCTCCCCGTTCAAGCATAGGTGTTTGAAATTCTGACTGTAAATTGAAAATATAGTAATACCCTTATTTTTTTAATATGATTTTTATCTCAATTTACAGTCAGAATTTCAAACACCTATGGTTCAAGGTAGAAGAACCCTTGGCAGAGAGACAAAGAATCTGTGTTGGTGTTCGAAAAAAAGAGTGGGGGGGGAGGAAGGAATAGTGTAAAAGATGTACATTGATTCGGTTGCCTTACAAGCAACGGCTGTAGGGAATTTCTCTTGAGCTCAGTGGTAAAGCATCGGGCTAGAAAGCCAAGGGTCGCTTTCAAGTCCCAGCGACGCCACTATCTTTATCACTATTCCTTGTACTACTACATCTTTAATAACTCTTATTGGCCCGGATGTTAGTATGTCGGGTCTTAATGTGGGAGTAAACCAGAGTACCAGGAGAAAATCCATGTTGTCAGCAGGGCGACTTGTTGGTGGAAGGCGAGTGTTATCCAATGCATCACCCAAACAGCATAAACCATTGGTGTGTCTTTTTAATAATCCTATATTGACTATTAAAAAAGCTGTCTTAATAACATTTGATCTGCTATTTTAATAATACAAAAACAAAAAAGCCAAGCACCAATGATTCAATGCTACTGTAAGCATTTAAATTCTTTTTCAGCCCACCCAGATACTGTGTAATGGTTGTGTTACAATTTCAATGTTTTACATTTGTTCCCCAATCCCCAAACATGCATTATGAGTTCATTATCACAAGTACCAAACAGTCTCTGTCAAATGGACCGAAGCTTCTGTTTTTCATGTATCAAACCTCTGGGTGCTAAAACTTCTAGCGTTTGTGAAATAGAAAATCTACAAGGTAATTTTGGTATCCGACAATGTATTAGAATGTCAAGTGCCTGTCGTGGTACCATACATTTTGAACAGTATTTACAATGTATATAATGGTTGATACACACAACATAACAACATGTTCCCCCTACCACCACATTGTGAACATTACTTGAATGCACACAAATTATGTGTCATCAATGGTTTTCTGTAATCCATGTTTTCCATAAGTTTGCACAAGTGAAACATAATTTGGAATGAAGTGTTGACAGTTGTATAGTGCCCTATAAATTTTGTTTTAAAAATCATGACAGCACTCTACACCAAGAGATCTGAAAGCTACTACATTTGTCATTTGATAGGTGAAGGTAAGCAGAATGTTGTATTAAGAATGGTATTCTGCTGCTAGCCTTTGCGATAACTTCAGGATGAATGTCTTGTGTATCTTTTTTCTGTGTACCTTTGTACTCTGTGGAGATGCTTTTAACAGTATACCATCAATTCCATACTGTAGGAGTGTAGCACTTTACATAGTCTAGTCTCAACATCACCAGTGCATTAACCAGTATCCTTCAGGAATCTCTGGTCAGGAACTGATGTATTAAATAAAACAATTCCATATACAACATGTTTCCCCCACTATTCACTGAACTAAGACTGACAGTGTGTAATGTTTCCCCCACTGTTCACTGAACTAAGACTGACAGAGTGTAATGTTTCCCCCACTGTTCACTGAACTAAGACTGACAATGTGTAATGTTTCCCCCCACTTTTCACTGAACTAAGACTGACAGTGTGTAATGTTTCCCCCACTGTTCACGGTACAACATGTCATTATTGTGTTTGCCATGCTTGCCTTAACACACTCCCTATCTCAGCCTTCAGAAGAACTGTGGGTTTGAGGCTATCACATTTTGAGTAACATCTGCTTTTGATAGATTGGAAAATAAAGATATCAGCAAAAAGAGTTGGTAAGAAGAGTTCTGAAATGGATTGAAGATACCATAGCAAGAAGAATATTATAAAGTGAGCTCTGGAGCGAACATTTCTGTAATGCTGACACGTTGTTGTTTGCCCTTACACAAATAGAACAGAGGATAGAGGAGAAAACAGTTATCTGCTACTTGTTTAGTAAGATTTATTATAGTCTTAATGACTATTGATTATGATGAAGTGTTCTCCATGCATTCCTTCAATGCTTTTTCCCATCAACATGCCATGATTCAATACAATCCCCCCCCCCCCCCGAAAAGCAGGCCACTTAGATGCCACACAGCTTGGCTGTTTTGTGAGACCGGTGGGACCAGGCCTTGCCGTGGTGGCAGTGGGGTCTGATGGTGTATTGTAGGCGGCTGGATTTAAGTGGGACATATATTGATTGTCTGGCAAGTGATAAAAATATACAGTCACAGAATCAATACGGAACCACAAGACAATATACTGTCCAGGAGTGATGTCCTAATACTTAAAGTTTGTACTGACTACTTCTATACAAGCTGCCGGCCCTGTACCTGATTATACACTCCCAGGTAAGTGCTGCTGTACTCTGCTCGGCCCAGAACAGGTGAACTGATGTATTTGATTATAAAGTTGTCAGGCCAAGGGCCCTGTACCTGATGTACTCTGTTATAATGTCAGGTCCTGTACCTGATGTACTCTGTTATAATGTCAGGTCCTGTACCTGATGTACTCTGTTATAGTGTCAGGTCCTGTACCTGGTGTACTCTGTTATAGTGTCAGGTCCTGTACCTGGTGTACTCTGTTATAGTGTCAGGTCCTGTACCTGGTGTACTCTGTTATAGTGTCAGGTCCTGTACCTGGTGTACTCTGTTATAGTGTCAGGTCCTGTACCTGGTGTACTCTGTTATAGTGTCAGGTCCTGTACCTGGTGTACTCTGTTATAGTGTCAGGTCCTGTACCTGGTGTACTCTGTTATAGTGTCAGGTCCTGTACCTGGTGTACTCTGTTATAGTGTCAGGTCCTGTACCTGGTGTACTCTGTTATAGTGTCAGGTCCTGTACCTGGTGTACTCTGTTATAGTGTCAGGTCCTGTACCTGGTGTACTCTGTTATAGTGTCAGGTCCTGTACCTGGTGTACTCTGTTATAGTGTCAGGTCCTGTACCTGGTGTACTCTGTTATAGTGTCAGGTCCTGTACCTGGTGTACTCTGTTATAGTGTCAGGTCCTGTACCTGGTGTACTCTGTTATAGTGTCAGGTCCTGTACCTGGTGTACTCTGTTATAGTGTCAGGTCCTGTACCTGGTGTACTCTGTTATAGTGTCAGGTCCTGTACCTGGTGTACTCTGTTATAGTGTCAGGTCCTGTACCTGGTGTACTCTGTTATAGTGTCAGGTCCTGTACCTGGTGTACTCTGTTATAGTGTCAGGTCCTGTACCTGGTGTACTCTGTTATAGTGTCAGGTCCTGTACCTGGTGTACTCTGTTATAGTGTCAGGTCCTGTACCTGGTGTACTCTGTTATAGTGTCAGGTCCTGTACCTGGTGTACTCTGTTATAGTGTCAGGTCCTGTACCTGGTGTACTCTGTTATAGTGTCAGGTCCTGTACCTGGTGTACTCTGTTATAGTGTCAGGTCCTGTACCTGGTGTACTCTGTTATAGTGTCAGGTCCTGTACCTGGTGTACTCTGTTATAGTGTCAGGTCCTGTACCTGGTGTACTCTGTTATAGTGTCAGGTCCTGTACCTGGTGTACTCTGTTATAGTGTCAGGTCCTGTACCTGGTGTACTCTGTTATAGTGTCAGGTCCTGTACCTGGTGTACTCTGTTATAGTGTCAGGTCCTGTACCTGGTGTACTCTGTTATAGTGTCAGGTCCTGTACCTGGTGTACTCTGTTATAGTGTCAGGTCCTGTACCTGGTGTACTCTGTTATAGTGTCAGGTCCTGTACCTGGTGTACTCTGTTATAGTGTCAGGTCCTGTACCTGGTGTACTCTGTTATAGTGTCAGGTCCTGTACCTGGTGTACTCTGTTATAGTGTCAGGTCCTGTACCTGGTGTACTCTGTTATAGTGTCAGG